GGTCTCACTAAATTGCTTAGAACCTTGCTAAATTGCTGAGGCTGACCTTGAATTTGTGATCCTCCTGCCTCTGCCTGCTGAACAGCTGGGATCACAGGCATGAACCACCAGGTATGGCTCATTCTACAAGTGATTTCAACACTTGTAGAATTTATTTTGGGGATGTGGTGGGTATGGGTGTGTACTGTGATTGATCTCAGGGGTACCTGACGACTGAGCCACATCGCCAGCCTTTTTGTTTTTTTTAAAGAGACAGGATTCTCACTGAGTTGCTTAGTACCTTGCTTTTGCTGGGGCTGGCTTTGAACTTGTGATCTTCCTGCCTCAGCTTCAGGAGCCACTGGAATTACAGGCATGCACCACTGTGCCTGGCCAGAATTTCTTTTGGCAAATATTTCCCCCTTGGGTATTCTTTTAGTCTGATTTTAGGATTTTTAAAGTTCTATATTATCAGATGGGTAGTTTTTCCATCTAAGTTTAAAAATTAAGAACAAAAAATGACATTTTATAATTTTAAATATATTCACCTTAAAAATAACTACTTTAATTTTTATTCATAACAGAAATATGTAAGTTCATTTTTCCATACCTTTAGCAACACTGTTTTTTTCTTTTTCTTTCTTTTGTTTACGGTGCCGAGGAACAAATCCAGGGCCCTGTGCATGCTAGGAAAGCTCTCCAGCACTTAACTACACCCCAAAATACTTCTTTTAAAAGAAGTTGTTCCCCCCCCCAATCTAACACTTAGTAAGGTACTTTCATTTGAATTTTTTAAAAATATTTTATTTTTTAGTTGTAGTTGGACACAACACCTTTATTTCACTTATTTATTTTTATGTGGTGCTGAGGATGGAACCCAGGGTCTCGCACGTGGGAGGCGAGCGCTCTACCGCTAAGCCACAACCCCAGCCCTTTTTATTTGAATTTGTGAGGTATTGAATATCTCTTTTAGGCCATTTTATCTTTTTTCTTATGAGTATTTTCATTACCTTTTCTATGAGGTCTTTTGCTGCTTTATTGATTTATAATAATTATGGGTTTTTGTATGTTCAAAATATTTCAAGTGCTTAATGATATCATACTATGAGACCGTGTGAATATGCATTATTTCATTATCACAGACAAAATTGGTCAATATTTTCCTTTGTGACCTTTGGCTTTATGTCATGCTTAAGAAAAGGCTCCAAAACCAATATTGTGAAAGTGATTTCTTATGCCTTCTTATAGTTTCCCTCAAATTTATAACAATCTTTTCCTAATATTCATTACTGAAGAGTCCATCTTTTCTCCAATGATTTGAAATGCTATTTCACAACATTTCAAATTCCCAAAGTAATGTGAGTCTTTTAAGGTACCTTCTTCCCAATGATTTTTGATTATTTAGTTTTAAAGGTATCACTGTGTTGAGTCCATCCACGTCGGTGCTATATTTTAATGTTCTCACACCAATATCATGATGGTTTAATTATTAGCTCAAGACACAAATACTGCCCTAGAATAACACTTGGAAATGGGCACCAAGGGTGTTGATGCAGTATTATTTGAAATAGCAGAACACTGGAGTAAATCTACAAGGATATCAATAGTGAATTGGCAAAATAATGTGTTACAATTATAATATTGAATATCATGCTAGTTAAGGGAATGTCACTACAACTGAAATCACAACTCTTATGAATAGACATGAAGACATTCAAGATAGTACACAAGTCTGGAAGGAAACAGAGCAAAATGATAAAAGTGATTAATTCTAGGGAGAGTAAAAGGTGGTGAGAAAAGTAAAATTGAGTCTACTCTATAATTTGTAGGGATATCATTTGGATCGAATTCCCACCTTCCTTCTAGATTCTGCCCATCCTTAGAGATCCAAGTCAAGGTCTTCCTCTTTGAAGCTTGCTCTTTCAAATCACTTTGGCCCTTGCTTTCTCTGAGCTCCTATTGACCTAATGGTCTACCCTCCCCCATCAGCTTTTAATCATTCCCTAAATGGCCTCATGGAAAGGGGTTCTGAGCCTACCCATGTAATTTATCTCTTCTACCAACCAGGGAAGGACCCTCCTATAAAACCTAGCTTTCAAAAGGGAGGAAAATAAAGAAGAAAAAATACTGTGGCTTCATAAGAAAACACAGCTGTCAAGAGATGGGAAAATCTTCCCTCCCCTCTTCATGTAAGCAATCGGCCATTTGTGAATCAGACTCCAAAGGCTAACATCTTTTGTTTATGTGTGTACTAGGATGAGTGTAATTATAAACTCCTACAGTCTGGTGGAAAAAAACCTTTAAATTCACATGTGCCATTGTTAGTTACATTTATATCAATTTTCTGTTTTGGATGCTGAACATTTCCTTTGTTTATCAGATTTTTTTTTAGTCTGAATAAAGAGAAATAACATAACAACTATTAGCAGAGTGAATATGGTATGATTTGCTAGTTAAAATTATGGCTCCTGGAAATTATCTCTGACTTTTTTAGCTCACTGAATATAGTTAAAAACCTTTAGATTGTTAGAATAAGCCAGAAGCCATAATTTCAGAATTCTAGTAGTAACTGCTTTTTCTGGAAAATTACTGAAATCAACAATATTAATTTTCTTTCATTTCAAAAAAGAGGTATCCATTGTTTTAGAAGTGTTTATAAGTGTCCACAGGGAAAACAGGATGTGTTACGTACTGTCTTGGTTACATTACATGTAATCCCCTCAACCTCAACAATCATATGAAGGAACTATTATTATTATTATTTGTATTTTACACATAAGAAAGCTTAGGTACAAAATAAATATTATTCTCAGGATTCACAAAGTTAAATGGCAGAGCCAGAATTTAAATTTAGCAAGTCAGTTATTTAATTTCAACCACAATACTATTCTGCATCTGTAGCAAAGAAATAAATAATGTAATATTTGGATATGTAAAATTACTGCAGGGGATCCATTTTAGTATCTTTTATTAAAGGATATAAAATTATGCAGCCTTCAGATGCTTATTCACTTTCTGTACTAGAGGCAGCAATAGATTTGCCTCCATTATTCCTTTTTCAGAATTTACTTTCCAGATAGGAGGCTTATATTCAAAATATTCTTGGACAGTTAAGAAGGTTATGTGGTATTTTCTTATTTGAGCACTGAGGCCAGGAGAAGGAAGGCACTTACCCAAGGCTCTGTAATCAGGGGTAGTTCTGCAAACAGATCAGATCTCCTGATCCTTACTGTAAGGCAAACTTAGCTTTTCTGATGGTGATCTGGAAGGTCAAACAAAGGGACAGGAAAGGACATAAAAATATATGAGATGATGATTTTCTTCTTCATGAGCCAATGCAATTTTATCACACACAAAGGACACCAAAGCTGATAAATAATGTAAAAATGATTTTCCCCTTTCTTGTGGTTATATTTTCAAATTTACTTTGTTGAACCTTTATCTAATTTTTGAAAAATGTTTACTCTTTATTAAGGATAATCTCAAATGAATAAAAATGTAGAGGGAACAGTATTACAAACCCACGACGAATCCATCATCTAGCTTCAGTAATTACCAACTGAAGGCCATCTTGTTTCATCTGTAACCCCACCCACTGCTCCCCCCCCCTGACTTTTTTAGCTCACTGAATAGCTTATTTCTGTATAATGAAAAATTCCAAAAATATACCAAGGAAAACATTAATATAAAGAAACCCATCTACCCTTCATTCAGCTTAAATGATTATTAATTTAGAGCCCCATTTTTTTTTCTTTATACCCCTCCTCCCCATTTCCTTCTACCGCTGAAATTTTGAAGCAAATCCTAGTCATCCAACATATTTTGAAACCAATCTCAATATACTATTTAATCCTTAAGCATTTATACATATATGTCCACAAAATAGACAATTTGAAAACATAACCACAATCCCACTGTAATGTCTAAAAAAACTGACATCAATTCCTTAACAAACATCAAATATCGAATCCGCGTTCAAATTTTCCTGATGCGTCTTAAACGGGTTTTTACAGTTGCCTTGCTCAAATCAGGATCCAAACAAGGCCTACTTATCGCGCATGGTTCATCTCTACCTCGCTCTCGTTCCCGATCTCCCCCCTCCCCCCATCTTTTAACTTTTCAATATGGGAAAATTCCAATCCCCGCGGTATGAGGCATTTCTCAGGTAGCACATTATTTCATCGGTAAAAATTAATTTATCCCTTTTATCTTTAATTTCTTCTAGGAAAGATGATATGCAGAAAAGGCACTATAATGACAGTATTTACATCAACTATAAATTTTCTCATTCTGTTAAGCGAATATTTATCTCCGTTAACAATAGCTAATTATCTTTAAGAGCCAGGCTTCTTATTAGGTGCCTTCTACGCACCATAATACAGTACACGTCTGAGTACACGTCTCTGATGAGGTAGATACTATTATTATCACCATTTTACAAACATGGAAACCGAGACACAGAAAGAACAGAAGCCTTGCCCAGGCTGGGCGTTGGCGAACAGGAATGAATCTAGCTCTGCCGATCGTAAAGCCACTTGCTAATCCTGTCTATATACACAAGAAGAGGAAATCATCGATCCTTTTTCCCCACCCCCACCCCGAAACCTGAAACGAGAATCCAGTTCTTTCCAGCGGCCGACGTGTGATCACTGCCGTCCCTCCAACCGCCATAGTAAAGCCAGGTTTCTCTGGCAACTGATATCCATAGGCAGACACGTCACTCTGGAGGCGGGCCTATGCCCATCAACCAATCACAATCGTCTTGCCTAAGTTTTAGAATGTTCCATAACCAAATGATTGGACCACCACCCCCACGTCAGCAGTGACACTTAGCCGCAGTAAAGGCGGGTGCTAGCAACCTGCTTCTTCATGGTTAAGGCCTGAAACCAACCAACCATAGTCTTCCTTTAGTGCGAGTTTTAGCCAATGACGTTCCCCCTCTTAGGTTCTTAGCCCGCCCTCCGAAGCGCGACAGCCGTTGGGTCATAAGTCTATAGGGCAGAGTGTTCACGTGGCCTATTTTCACGACCCAGAGTTCCCCTGACCAGACCAGAGGGGCTTTTTTTTTTTTTTTCTCTTTCTGGCAGGGAGGCATTATGGGTTTGTGCCCCTCCCCCAGCTGGGAAAGGAAGTGTCTACGTGGCCTGCGGAAATAGGATAGGCGGAAATGAGCTAAGGTCCCCGCGAGTGGGGAAGAGCGAGGTCAAAGTAAAGCCACGCCCCCGAGCCTGTTGCGCAATTCTCCGAGCAGGGGAAAAAAAAGGCAAAATCGAAGTTTTGATGTGTGTGCGCGAATGGGGGTGGTGAGTGCTGCTGGCGTGTGGGCCAGGGTGTACAAGCGCGGGCAAGTTCGCGTGGCCTGGGGGGTTGGGGTGTGATCGCGCTCCAGCCCTCGTGGCGCCGGAGGAGGTGGGTGTGCGCAGGCGTCCGCCCTAGCTTTAGGGCGGGGGTAGAGGAGAGTGAGTGTGTACGTGAGCTCCTCTCTTTTGGTTTTCTATCTGTATATGTTTGAACGGCAAGGAAAATAATTTAGGCAAGGTGGTCATAAAAAAAAAAAAGGGGCTTTTGTTCAAAGTAGCTCGGCTACCCTACCAATTTGATTTTAGACCCTGAAGGTACACTTTCCTTCCACATTTTTCTTTTTGCCAAAATCCTATTCTAAATTAGTTCTCCAATAGTTCAGAATCATACCTTCCCATTCCCATATTAGCAACAACAAGGGGCGGCTTCAATTCTCTAGTATCCTCCCCTCTCCTGCCCACCCCCACCCCGCCCACCAAGTTGCTGGCAGTTCTCTTTGCAAAAGTATTTTCCAGTGATACATACAACACACTTCCCTTCCCCTCAGCTGGCGATCCCAAATTCCTGTGATTGCCGAGTTTCTCTTACCTTTTTGTTCCTGGTCTCCAAGCACTGTGTCCTTCCTCAAATACGCACTCAGCTAATTTTCCAGAAAGTTCTCTGGGTAAGGTTTATACCTCTCAAGCCTGCCGCTAGATGCCGCCAAATCCCAGTAAAGGATTGGCTGTTTGGTCCCTGGAATTATGGGATTTGTCTTCCTCCCCGGCCCCCACCTTCCTGGTTTGCTGAACAAGCCAAACAATGGGGGCAGCAGAGGGTAGGGGGGGGGGGGTTGTTGTGGATATTCTTTTAAGGAAAAATAAAAAAACAGCGTCTGTAAATAACCCTGTTAGCCAGAGGTCTAGGACCCAAGATCCAAATATTTTTGCAAATTTCTTTCCTTAAAAAAATCCCCCCTCTCTTTTTTGTCCCTTGTGTCCCCTGCCCCTTTGGTATTGGAGATTGATCCTTGAACCCAGGGGCACTTTACCACTGAGTACATCGCCAGCCTCCTTTTGTTTATGTGTTTTTACTTTTATTTTTTTGGTACTCGTGATTGAACCAAGGGGTGCTTAACCACTGAGCTGCATCCCCAGCCCTTGTCATTTTCTATTTTGAGACAAGGGTCTTGCTAAGTTGCTTAAGGCCTTGCTAAGTTACTGGGGCTGGTTTTGAATTTGGCAATCCTCCTGTTTCAGCCTCCATAGTCGCTGGGATTATAGATGTGTGCCACTGCACCTGGCTTGTTTTTTATTTTGTGTCAGTTCAGCAGAATTATGATGGTGGGATTATTTCATATCTGTGTAGTCAACAAGTATGGGGACTAGGATTTGAACTTTACTTACTTCTTGAGCCTAAGCCCTTAACGGTACTTCTTTTGTTCAACCATGATAACTTATCTTGCAGCTAAGTTGCCCAAGCTGTCCTCCAATTTGCAATCCTCCTGCTTCAGTGTCCCTGATTGCTGAGGTCTGGTTCCCTTGGAGTTTTTAGAGAGTTGAGGAATGACCCTAGGTGCTGATGCTGGTGTAAATCCAACCATTTTGCTCATAGTATTCCCAGATGGAAAATAAAGATGACTTTAGTTAGCCAATAAAGATCGGTAACAACTGAGAGGACAAAGTTAGACCCTGGAATTGAAAACCGATTTTTTAAAAAGTTTTTATCAGGTGTGTTTACACTCTTATTTTCAGTAGTGGTAATACTAAATTTTATTGTGTCTTTAGAGCTAGACACTTAATTGTAAACCTTCTTTCACTACTTATTAGCCATCTGACCCTGGGAAAATGTGTTTAAGTTGTGATCTTCCTTTTTTTTTTTCATGCTTTCTACATTTTAGATGTTATTTTTATAACCTTCATAGATATTCTTTTTTCTTTCCCAAATTCTCATTAGATGGGTACTACTACATCAAAATCACAACAAAAATCTTTCCCTTATCAAGCCTGTATACTTGTACACATAGCAGCCAGGGATTTTTAAAGAACATTAGTTCTCAAAAGTATCTTCTGGACACACCAGAAGTATCAGCATCATCTGGGGAGTTGTCAGAAATTCAGATTCTCAGGTCCCACCTCAAACCTAACAAATCAGAAATTCTGGAGGTGGAATTTGACAATCTGTATTGCTATAAACTGCTCCAGTGATTCCAATGCACATTGAAGTTTGAGAACCACCGCTTGGTGGGGCAGAAATGCAATGCTTATTTTTGTACACACCACTAGAGGGTGCCACAGAATGTAAAGCAAATATATATATATATATATGTATATAATGTGACAATGCATATTATCAGTCCTGGTTTACAGATTGAGGACCAATGTGTAGTGCCAGACATAGCTCATGCTATGGTAACCTTGGGTAAGTTACTTCTGCATCCTCACCTCACACCATCAATAAAAGTGAACACCCCCTAGCTCTGATGCTGAAAGGAATGAGCAGAGGAAATCACTCTTTTGGGGGCATTTACCATTATGCATTTAGTATAGTAGGCCCTTTTACATACCTTATGTCCTCTAAATCTGTACTGTTCAGCAGAATTGTGATGGTGGGGTTATTTCATATCTGTGTAATCAAGTATGGGGACTAGGATTTGAACTTTACCTGCTTCTGAGCCTAAGCCCTTAACAGTACTTCTTTTGTTCAACCATGATAGCTTATCTTGCAGAGCCTCAAGATATATTATAGGTATACCCTGCTTTGGCTAATGTTGACTGGAGTGTCAAAAAGAGGGTAAGAAAGCAAATCAAGTAAATGAAATATGCTGATGATTTTTATATTCTTCCTCATTTACATTCTATGATTATCACATAAAAACTCATGAGTGTTTTCCTTCTTGCTTTTTTGTTTCTCAGTGCTGTCTCTACTGTACATTTATCTTTTTATGTCTTAATTTCTTAGGAGTGATAGAGGAATCAGTGTGGTGTGGAAACAGACATATTGATAACCTATTATTGGATATACACTTTATATTGCTCTATACCCATTAATCCTAACAATAGGCCTGTAAGTTATGTGACAATTATCATTATTTTGTAGATACCAAAAATGAAGTCTAGAATCTTTAATTATATTTCTTTGGTCATATAACTTGTAAGTAGTGGTGCTTTTATAATTTCTTGTATATCTGACCCTATGATTCTACTAAACTTTCTTCTCTGCTTTGAATCTGGTTTAGCTACTTAAATAGCTATTTAAGTTTTTTTAAATAAATTTTGTAACTTTTCTAAGGTCCAATGTCACTGTATATTAAATAGGAGCAAATAACTCTGCTTCAAAATCTTGGAGCCACAGTTTTGAATATAGTAGCCACTAGCATATGTGGTTATTTCAATGTAAGATAATTAAAATTAAATAAAAAATTTAAAGAAGCAGTTCCTCAGTTTTACAAGCCACATTTCAAGGGTTCTATAGCTATGAATGGCTAGTGACTATCGTATTAGCATAGAAATGAAATAATCCCACCATCACAATTCTGCTGAACAGTACAGATTTAGAGGACATAAGGTATGTAAAAGGGCCTACTATACTAAAGGCATAATGGGGACAAAGAGGGATTTCCTCTGCTCATTCCTTTCAGCATCAGAGCTAGGAGTGTTCACTTTTATTGATGGTGTGAGGTGAGGATGCAGGAATAACTTACCCAAGGTTACCATAACATGAGGTATGTCTGGCACTGGGATCCATGTCTCCTGTGTTGTTCCAACATTCTGTTTCATAGACCCATCCTTATGCTTTACTGAGTGAGATTTCAAGGTCAAGGACATTAATTAATGTGAATTAACTTTGGAGTCATAGTGGTAGCAGAAAAAGGTATAGAAACTGAATTCTTCCCATGTGCCAGGCAGCACTGTGGCCAGCAATTTACATCTATTATCTTAGCAAATCCTCACTGAGGCCCAGAGAAGTTAAAACACCCACCCCTAGTTACTCAGCAAGTAAATGGCAGAGCAAGGATTTAAACTTCTCTGATTCTAAAGTGTAGGCTTTATCTTACTATGCAATACTACTTTCTCAATATGAATATCCCCTTCATCTCCACTTATTAGTGGGATAAGGCTTCAGCAGATTCTTGACTTAAGTGGGTCCTCTGAAAATGCTGGTTGTTATTCTTTAGAATTTACAGCTGAACCATTGTCTTCACATTTTATTTCAATTGGAAGGGAAAGATAGCTTAGGTTTGTTTGGTTCTAAGGCCCAAGGCCAGACAGAAACTATTTATGTCCCAGCCTTCACAGTACACCCAGTGACTCCAAGAACCCTGTGTTAATTTGCAAGACCACCATTAGCTCATACAATGCCTTTGTGCTAATTAGAAACATGTGCCACCTGGGGGCAGACAAATTGCAGGGACATGTCCACTCAGTGGAACAATGAGAAAAATGTCCCCCCCCACCCCCAGACTGCTGCAGCCTCTCTCGGGCAGTTGAAAAATAAATATCAGCCTAAACTTGTGCTCTCTTAGTTTATTACTTTTGTACAAGGTACAACCTGCCCAACATTATCTGCTGGCCTTACTTGTTTTATCTTGTGGCTAAGAGCCTTCCTATGTCTGAAAGGCAGTAGTCTGTTCTGGAGGGTAGGGAGAGACACCAATGTCCTCCTGTGGATTTTGGGTAGTAGATGAAACTGGTGTATCCTAAGGTTTCGACATTTAAAAAAATTGATTCTTGCTAGCTTATTGGATGTTTTTAAAAGAATGTTTATTTGATGTGAAAGTTAAAAACAAAATGTAATAATTCAAGCCTAAGCAAAATGGTATTTCTGTAATGATGATGCTTTTCCATCTATTTATATCTGCCTCATTCCATACAATTTCAGAAAACCAGTCCAGAAAATTAGTCTGAATCTCTCTAGTTTGTTAGCCTGTGACAAAGCAAAAATTGGAAGTAGTAACGGGAAAATTTTATTGTTTTAGTAATACCTATTCTCTCCTCCTGCAGTTAACTTCCACTGCTGATTG